CAAGCTTTAAGAAATTGAAAAAGCTAGAGTTTTAATATAAGCCCTAATTTCCAAATCAAAACTTCTGAAACATGGTCTCATGTGTTACTGAATCTCTCAGAACGTATAAGCTATATCCATTCTTTTTTTCACCTGTCACTCATTCAATAACATTTACTTTCACCTGAAAAAACCCCCACAGATTTGAAGGGAAAGTGCAAGGTATGTATTGGTGGATGTGAAATATGGTTTGATGAAAACAAAATGTGAAGTCAAGCCTCTGAGAGCTAGTGTACACCACTTCATGAAATCCCTTCTCCTTTCTTCCTTTGATATGAAGAGGTTTTAGGTATTTATTTATGCACAATTGTACTCAATTCTTTTCTGCACTTTACCTTTCATTTAGCCTAAACCCGGGCACACATTGTTCTGATTTCAATACCATAGGACATCTGGCCTCATCCTTTAGCGCACTGTAAGATAAATATAATTCAAGCCTCCATTTCTCCATCATGCCCTTCTTTATCATCCCATAAGAATACAGAACTTACAGTCTGCAATACTCATCTCATATGCAAAGGTGAACTGTAACGCTGGAAGACATTCAAAATCCTCTCACCGCTAGGGTAATTGTCTGATGGGGTGAGCCTCAGCTGGGAGTAGTGGCTGTGCTGGTGGATATATTTTGGTATGAGTGGAAAATTGGAATAAGTCAAGAAAGATCTGAGTAAACAAAGACTTCATGACTGACCAAGGAATTGAGCCCACAGACCTCTAGCAGTTTAATTTTTTTCCCTCTGCCTCATGTGCACCCTAAGTTCCTTGGCCTGGTGAGTTTTTAGTGTGAACTTTCTGTCCTTTCACTTATATTGCTTTGGTTAGCTGAAGGGAGGAGAGCATAGCTAATATTCGGGTCTACCAGATGCAGGGAAGAGGGACTCTCAAACTTTTAAGTGGCAGAAGCAGAAAGAAACAAAACTAGAGTGAAAAAATTGGTGTCACAAGGAAGACTGAGGAATTTTCTGATACATGTCTTACACAAATGACCATTAGTGACTTCTAAGTATTTCAAAGGAACAGTATCAGAAAATGATGGGTTTCTTGCTACACAGACTTACAGCAATTCCTTTGTTATCGCTGGGTATCTGGCTGTTGCCATGAGCATAACACAGAAAAATGCAATTCTTTGTAATAGGATTAGATTTTAAAAAAAAAGCAGCAGTGTCTCTGGTGAAAGCATCACCTACAGCTAGCCTCAGCAGTGCTGACTCTGTGTTAGCTTTTACAAGCAGGTCACGGCACAGGCAGGTGCTGACAAGCTTTTCTTCTCTGTTAAATGCAGCTGAGAGGCTCAAAGCAATGGCTTCCCCAGGGACCAGGCCTCCCGTCCAACCTGACAGAGATGGAGAAGCAGGAGATCACTTCTTGTTTTATTCTTGCTAGGCCTGCAAAGATTTTCTTTTAATATACAAAACAGCCATCAGACTGAATGCAAGGTGGTGGCAGGGTGGAAATGCAGTGGGTCCGGAAGGGGCTGGCCTGGTGGGTTGTGGAGGTACCTGGCAAGGGAAATAGCTGCATGGTCTTTTTTCTGGAGGAGAGGGAAATGATGCCAGTGGAAGGAGCTGAAAAAAATCACTTGCAAGTGGGTCATTTTCAATTGCTGTAAATGAAAAAGTCACACTGAGGCAGAATATTACATTCAGTCGCCTGCCACTGAGAATGGCAGTCAACCACTTGTAGAAAGATTAGCAAAGGAAGCAACTGGGAGAAGCTGAAAAAAGGGCTCTGGGTCATAAAATGCGGCAAGAATGGGTCCCATTATGAGGAATTACAGACATTTTTCTCATTCCAAGAACTCTAACAAGACACTAAGAATTTGGCTTCTTCTCCCAGATCTGTTTTAACTTTCTGTCATGGAGTTGATCAGTACTAAAAATAACTGGGAAACCTTTAGCACTTGCTCCCAAAAATCTGTGCAGGGAGCTATATGCCAGCCAGCTAGGGCAGAATAGGATGAAGCTGTTCATATGGAGAAATATAATGAAGACAGATATTGGTGGAGAACTAGGAGTGAGGAGGAGTCCCTTCTCTATCCTACTTCCAGAGTAAAAAAACCACAATGAGGTAGGCTGTGATGATTATACTTTCTTTGTGATGAGGGAAATGACAAGTTGTTATAAGTTACCTCATTGAGTAAAGCTGCCTACATGGGGGGAAAAAGGTCAGTTAAAGGTAATGCCTGAGGAGCTGTTACAGATTAGACTGAATTTGCACTCTGTGATAAGAGCTCACCTGTGCCTTCAGGCATGCCCCCAAGTAAAGGGCATGAGCAGTACACTGCTCTACAGGAACACGCTGGAAGCCTTGGTGCCTCAGTTTCTCTCTTGAGGGAAGTAATTTGCTTTTCACCTGTTCTGGATGGTGAAGTGGATAGAAATGAGTAATTCTGTAGTTTCTTCAGCCAGATTTCTGCAGTTTCTCTGCAGAAGCAGTGATTTTGATAGTATTCTTCTAAACAACCATGCTGGTTATCGCAGCTGTTCAAATCCAAGCACAATAATTTCCTGCTCTCCGTACAAACTCAAACTATTAATCTTTTCTTCTTTCTCAAACCTCACAGTACCTGTAAATAACTAGCCAAAAACAGAGATATGGGTTTTGACCACTGATTGCTTTTATTGGCAAAAGAAACAGAAATATTCCCCCTTATTGTACAGCAATATCGAGCATTCAAGGGATCTGCAACCACTATATGGCATCAATCTGCCACGTAGCTTTTGACGGACATCTTTCTGTACCTTTATAAATCACCCGTCTACTACTTTTGATGTAAAGATCCCATCTAAGAAAATGGGCATTGTTGATGTGCTCAGTAACAGCACCGGTCTCACTGGAACCATGGGGGAGTCCGACCCGGCAGGCCCTAGAGTGAGCTGTAGGTTGGGGTTGAGATCATCTGAGCAGTGATTATGTTTTATCCTTGCAAACAGGCTGACCTGCCATCCAGTGAAATGAAGGGTTAGAAGCAACGGTAGGGAATTACGTGGGCTGCAAATCGGCATATTTGAAAAATAACATCCTTCACTTCAAACAGAGTTACTGTGAACTCACTTGATTTCTTTGAAATGCACCTATTGAAATAATTATCATAAATAGTAATGAAAGGGCCAGAAAAAAATATGTAGTTTTGCCTCTGGCTAAGATAAAATTGTATATACTAAAAACATAGCATGAGAGCTTGTTACTTCGGAGCCTTTTTCTGTTTTACGTATTTTAAATTCCCCATTTCTGTAGCACCGGTGCACCTCCCAGTTTACCAGGGCACTGCCTTTACAACTGCCTTACAAGGTAGGGAATCCATTTTCTGTATGAGACATGAGGTGTAGGTGGGTTAAATGATTTCCATGAGGTCATTGAGGAGGCCAGCGCACCCCAGTTCCTTGCTTGGAGAGCCATGTCCCAGGGAGCCTGCTCAGGGCAGGCAGCGGGAGCCCAATTGCTTCACTACTATTTGGAGCCTCACTACAAATGGGTGTATGAAAATATCCCCCTCACATGTGCCTTTAGGGAAACAAGATGTGCCCATGACACGAGAACAATGAGCACACCTCAAAATAAAGCACCCCAAAAGAGAAACCTGCTGTCCCCACACCTAAAGCCATCCTGGCGTCCTAGGGGCCGAATCATGGATTTCGGTTCCTATAAACAGCCCGCCAAGTCTAGGTAGGTAAAACTCCCCTTTGCTTCTGCTGGGCTTATAAAGGCAGGGCTGAGTCAGCAGTCATTCTGATGCTGGGTTATTTCCTTACCAAACTCTGAATCCCACAGGCCAGGTCACACAGCCAGCTGTCACTGTACCACAACAAAAGCATTTTCCCATGCAAACTGAAGATGAGAGTAGTGCCATTTCCCCTGCAAGCTCTCCAGTGCTGCAAGGGAGGCCTGTGTTTACAGGAAGCTGCAGCCTGACTGGTGACCTTACACGTCGCTCTTTCCCCAGCTCTGCCTATGAGTGCAGAAGAGCCACAGTGTCATCTTTGGCCGAGTCACCCTGGGGAGTTAGCTCAGCTGTGACACGGAGCATATTAGCCAAATGCTGCACAAATCTGACAGCGCTGCTTCCAGGGATGGTCTGAAGCTGGCAGCAGACTGCTGCTCTTGGGCAGTAAAGCTGGACAGGGTTTGATGCAGCTCATAGCTGACATGCCCTGCAGGAGCACATCAGAGGTGCACTTTGCACTCTGCTGTACAGCTCCTGCGCAACACCACTGCCCAACCACGGGCGCCGGGATGCACCGGGCACCACAGCTATCTGCGCTGCAGCCTCCGGCTCTTCCCACCAGCCAGGCAGGCCCAGCGTCCATCCCACCTCACCGCACTGGGACTCTGCTCGCACAGCTCTCAGACGGAATTTGGAAAAAGAATAATCCTTCCTATAATGACTATAAGTGTAGAAAAATTATTAATAGCCACAGGGAAAGATGGGGAAGCTGCTGAGGAACAATTTGAATTGAGGGTAGGGTTGGGTTTTCTTTAACTGAGACAAACTAAGATATGGGAAAAGTGCCAGAGGAGAATGAAGGGCTGAAGGGAGGCAAGACACTGAGCGATCAGGAGCAGAACTGAGATCACTGCCTAAGTGCAGCATGAAAGAGACCAGAAGAGACATTTTCGACTGATGGACAAGGATGAAGCAGCTATGGAAAGAAGGTCAAACAAGGAGCGAGAATAAGGGTGGAAGGTATTTTTCACTGTTTTTTTGGATGAAATGTTGATACACTGAGTGGAGAAAGGAAATCGTGTCAGTGAGAAACAGTCTTTACAAATCTTATAATTTGTTCTTCCAGTATTAGATCTTTGCTGTCAACTCCCAAACTGCAGGACTTATTTGCATTTGCTTTCACTCACATAATACTTATAGATTATAACACAACCTCTATGTTTTTCTCAGATGAGACGTTCAGAGCAATTAAGGACAGACCAGGAGAATCCAGCTATCTCTGGCCCTGGAGGGCAGAAGGGAGTAAGTACCGCTCTGAAACGGTCATAAGTGCCAAGGAGCAGCTTCTCTGACTAGTCTAACTTCAATTTCACTTTGGAAAATGTTATATATTCACTTGTTAATTCAACTTGTGCATTACATTGCACATTTGATAAGAGCCTTCAGGTACAAGCTCAAAGTACCAAAAAGGCAGAGAACAGGAGATAAAATACAACATCAAGGATCAGGAATGCATATCATTTGCCATTATAGGTGAGACAAGCTTGTACATGACTGTCTATAGAGTCAAATGCTTCATTTTTTGTTACCGATTTCATTTTTTCGAAGGCTTCCCCCTTTCCACTTTATTCCCATCTGTTCAGCTGGCATCAAGGAGGGAGCCAAAGGACTCCAAGGGTTGCCCTGGCAGGGTATGGCACCCTTGTTAACACCTTTCAATTCCCATCCCTATACTTCTGCACTTAGCGGGGCAGGAGGGGAGCTTCCAGTTTGAAAGCCCAGCTGTTGCAAGGAATCTCAGCGGTAGCACTATTCATGCACATATCATTAGCAGGGGAGCTGGGCATCGCTTAAGCCACAATCTCAAAAGGAGTTTCCAGGCCTTGGATAACAGAGAAAGGCGATTGATTTTTCTTGTCTATTTCTACAATGAATGATTCCCATTTTCTTCTCTTTTTAAAGGAAAAAAAATAATTACAAGAGAAATTGAATCCTTCTTCAACCTACCAGCTAGACAGCTGATCTGAAAGTTGTGCCACTGATGACCTTAGTTTCTCTCGAAATAGACTGCAGGAACTTGAATTTGCCTTTAGGGTCTGCAAAGGGGTCGCAAAAGGGGCAGATGGCAAAAACATTTTCATGCACCTCTGAGCCTCCTCATTGCTTTTGTAACCTCAGTAAGTACTAAAACTACGTATTGAAGTGAGACACACTAAGGTATCTCCTGACAGAGATCAAGGGTCGGTACATCCATAACAAATTCCGGTGGATGCCCCAGTTAGGAAACCTAAAAAACAGGTCCAGCTGAGTATGAGGAATGTTCATATGTAGCAACTGGAACTACTACAGAAGTTTTTTTGATGATGTCAGAAGTTTTTCAGCGACTCGGAAGTTATTTCTAGTAACATCTGGAGCTCTTTGGTGGCTGCTAAGTGGAACAGTGAATTTCCTATGAAGGCTTCAGAAAATTGCTGACTTAGCTGATAGCTATCATCCACACAGTCAAATGAATTTTCTTGGCAGCTACATGTCTTTAAATACGTGGCAGTACAGGCAATGTTGGGGGAGGGGGGAGAAGGAGTAAGGGGGCTTGTAACACAGACAACCATCAGGTTTCTAGTCCTATAAAACTAGAATTGAATAAAAGCCATTTGATAACTCTGTTAAAGCTTGCCATGAAACTTAATAATCTACATTTGTAAGTCTGTATCTCTATAGGCAAGTACATCACATTTATGTAAGTGACTCATCAGGCATTTTGCCTTCCTGCATGCTGCTTTGAAGTCAGCAGGTATAGATACGTATCAACTATCTGTACTGCTGGTTGGATTGATTTTAGCATTTAAATATGACACTAAAAAAGGAAACAGAAATCCACAACCTCTGCCTAGCTTAGGAATAGAGACATTCTTTCCACAGCTCTGTAGGACCCGTGGTGCTCACTGCATTTGGACATTGCACAACGCCTTTGCACACCTCTTTGCTCAACCCTTATTTAGGAGTAAAGAGCCCAAAACTGAGCACCATCTATTCTGTTCTGTGAGGGATATTCTGCAACCATGGAAATTTGCCTTAAGGCCTAAGAGGGGGAAAAAAAAAAAAAGCTCACACTTAAGTGATTTGACTATTCAGAAAACAGTCAAACTAACACCCTGATGAGGCAGTTTATATAAAGGAACCAGGACCCTATACAGAAGGACAGGTGGCATTAGATCAAGCCTGAGATGCTGCAGTCCCTAAATGTCACTGCTCTCCCAACCAGCGGCCTGCTGGGGCCCGCGTGTGCGTATGGGTGGAAAAGGGAGAAAGTAACATCGGAATGAGTCCCCCTCACGAGATCAACTTTGAAGAATTTAATTTCCTATCCTTCAGGCAGTGTAGCATAAGGATGTTTGTAGCGCACAAGGGTCGTGGGCATGGGTTGTGCTGGGCCAAAGTCCTCTCAAATTTTAAATTAGCTGGATGACATCAACAATACTAAACTAAAGGGAAAAAAAAGTATTTTAGGAAAAAAAAATTGAAAGCCTTTGAAAGGCTGTCACTTTCCACTCTAGGCCCTTATCCCTTGCATTCCCTTGTGCTATTATAGTAAGCAAGTAGATTAGATATAAACTAAGTGTGAGCCAGCTCTTTCTCTGGGGCACAGCCACTGAACCATTTTTGTAAGGGTTCAGGAGAATCCTTACAGCTCACCAAGGAAATAGGGGTTTATTGATTTCTGAATGCTTACCAAATTAAAGTCTGATCTGCAACTGATCTGAAACAGATGCATGGCCTCAGCTTAACAATAGAAAAACAATTTAGAAAGCTTTATCTTTCCTAAAACTGCAGATTTAAAGAAAATCAGTTTCCATTAATTTCACATGTTTACCTTTCACCAGGAATTTTACTAGCTAATAAAACTTTCAGTGCATCAGTAATTATAGGCACTGTTTGATGGCCCCAGCCAGCTGGTTACAGAGTAGATATCCCATTGCAAAAGTAAGATTTCTGTGGTCCAGAAACCACAAACAATGACCTAAACAGATATTCATCAGATATTTCCTAATAATTTATCTTTTTCTTTTTTCTATTTCATTTTCCACTTTCTCAAAAGCTTCATGAATGAGGAATTTCATTATAAGATGACCCAAGATCTTGTTTGTTTTTTCCTAATGGCAAATATCGGATAAAACCCACATGATAGCCAAACTCAGTAAAAATTATAGTGAGCCTCGTGAGCACTGAACAGCTGTCTGCCTGGGTGGCAAAGTCCCATGGACACAATAGCTCTCTATTGTTCATTCCTTAGAAGGGAAAAAGGAGCAGCCAGAGAACTGCTATATAAACAGGGAAAAAGTTTCACCGGGATACAAAACTTAATCAGTTGCTATGTTCACATACACTTAACAGCAGAAGAGTTTAGAAACATTACACCTAGGCAATATAAGCATAGTCTAGTTTCTTGCTTTTAGTACCAGATTGAGGGGGCAATTTCTCACTCTCCTCAGCCCAGGGCACCAGCACAGGGAGAAGCACTTGCTTCCT